ATGTAAACTGCATAAAGACAGGGGCAGCTGTTCAGTACTTATACCCAGTACTTAGAACAGTACCTGGCACAAAAGCATGTACCTAATTCATACTGATAAATGAATGGTCCTGGGTTTTCTCCATCATTTTCAATATGTAATCCAGTTTCTTCTTTAGGCTATAGGACCTCCTATGATTTCAGAGTTATTTTTTCTAATTAAAACATGACAAGAAGTTAGAGATTCTCTCACATTCTAATAGTATTTGAGTTTGCTGTTATACTTAGTCCTTATGTTATATTACTTAATTCACTTGGCTTCACTCTTCTATGCTTATTTCTGTTTTGAGTGTTGTTTGGGGATGTTGTTGAAAAGACTTTTTTACATTTTTAAAGCTCATGTGACTTAAACACTTAAAACAATTCAAATTAATTATTGAATGTACTAGTGATAAATCTGATTCCTCTAAAATTTAAGTATGCCGAAATTGTTGAGAATACCTAGATACTGTGATTTTGCTAGTTTCTTGAAAATGTATACTACTTCAGTTGTTGCTTTAAAAATTATTCTAAATTTGAGGAGTCTGAAAGGGTCCACACCTTAGAGATTTTTGGAGGTTTTATTTGTATTTGGACACAGAGTGCAGTAAAGTTTGATTTGTAGAATATTTACATATACCTATTTTCTAGATCGTAACATTTGAAAGATCCTGGTACCTAAAATGTCCAAGATGCCTGCCGTTTCCATAGTTTGAAAATGAGATATGGTTAAAAAAATAATAACAAAGTACCAAAAAAGGTAGTATTAAAGATAGATTTGTGATAATTTCTGTTGCTTTTTGGTTCATTGTTGGTAGTGGGAGAGGTAGGAAAGTGAACTGTTGTCACTTTATACTTGCATTTCAGACACTTTAATGTGATCTCTAATATGAATGTCAAATCATTTTGTTTTTGTTTTTAAATAACCCATAGAAGTTATAGTACAAAAATCACTACATTTTATTTTTCTGTCACAATTCTTTTTGAATATTTCCAAATGATCTGTGTTCTCTGTATGCTCTAAAACCTGACTGACTGTTCAAATATACATGAAAAATCCAGACAGTTTTATTTTCATGGTTCTAGCATTTTCATAGGAGCTACAAGTAGGAGGAAAACACTTATTTCTCTCTCTTTCTCTCTGAAGGGATAATAAGTTCAATTTAATTAATTAGTTAATGGTACAAATGGTATGTTTTTCTTTGGCCTCTAGAGTGTACTTTCTATCTTTTATGCTGAGAGTGGCTTTCCCTATTTAAATATTGTAGAGTGTATTTAAATAATGTAAATATGTTTTTGAGTCAGTGGACTCGTTTTTTCTTTTTCCTTTCTCCCAATACTCCTCCCTTCACTAATGGTGGCTCACTAGGCCATACTTCTTACCAGTTGTAAGGAGTTAGGATTTAGCACTATCCCTCCCAGGTTATTTTGATACTTAATGTCTTAGATGAGATTGCTATAACAAAGCACTATGGACTGGGTGGCTTAAACAACAGATATTTATTTCTCACAGTTTTGGAGGCTGAGCAGTCCAAGATCAAGGTGTGAGCAGATTCAGTTCCTGGTGAGGACCCTCTTCTTGACTTGTAGATAGCCACCTTCTTTGTCCTCTCATGGTAGAGAGAGAGCTTGTCCTTCTTCCTTTTCTTATGTGAACACTAATATCACCATAGGGGCTCTACCCTCATGACCTCATAAACCTGATTACCACACAAGGGCCCCATCTATAGACATTATCACTTTAGAGGTTAGGGCTGTAATATAAAAATTTGGGGAAGTGCAAATACTCAGTCCCTAACACCTTATCCTATCTCTTTTCCATTTCTACCTGAGGAGGATTTAATTGTTTATTTTTATTTTTAATTTGCTTTTATTATGAACATTACTTATAAATGATTTTGACATTAAAGAGAAACACACAAAAAACTGAAAGTTCTTTCCTTAATCCTCAGTATCCCACTCTCTAGGAGTAACTAATGTTATTTGCCAGAATATACAAATTTATTGTCAGTATATGTGCAGGCATATGTGCCTGTTTTTTACATTTTGATCTTCAGTCCTTGTGTGTGTGTGTGTGTGTGTGTGTGTGTGTGTGTGTGTTTAGTGTGAAGCAGGGATCTATTTCCAAGTATTTAGCTCTTGTCCTTTCAGCATCTTGACTAATTCGCTATTTCCCCACTCATACAAAATACTTTGTTGTATATCAATACTATTTTATGTATGTGTGTATATATATATATATATGTTTGTGTACTTTAAATTGTTTTCAGATACTTTAAATTGTTTTCAGATACTAATAGTAAGCTTTTTATTATTTTTACTTTAGCATTCCCTCTCTCCTACTGGGCCATTGTTGTTTTTGAAATATTTCTTAGCTGTTGTCCCTAGTCTAGTTTCAAGAATTTTTATCAGAGATTTCACTGCAGTTGCTTTGAAATTTGTGTGATATGGGGAGATATGATGTCTAAATAGTATTAAGTTTTCCTACAGGAACATGACATATCTTACATTTATTCAAGTCAGTTGCTCAGGTTTATAGTTCTTTACAACTTTATGCATGGGCATTTGAAATGTTAATGTTTTACAGATATTGTCTTTTTCATAAATTTGTAAAGGTTATCACCTATCCTAACATGTTGATTATATATTTTGGATATATTTTGCGTGTTTTATATGCACCCATATTATTTGTTCTAATAGCCCTTTACTTGGCCTTCTTAGATTTTTCAGGTAATAGGTTTTTCAAATAATAATTCTGTCTGTTCCTTCCTAATGCTTTACCTTCCCTGTTTGTTTGTTTCTTTTTTTTTTTTTACCTCATTGCACTGGAATTTCCATTGTCAGTTGAACAGTGATAATGATACTGCACCATTTTGTCTTGATCTTTTTTTTTAATAGCAGTGCCCCCTTTTTCTATTTTAGTGTTGTGATGGCCACTGATTTGAAAATAATCTACTTTATTATTAAGAATCCTTCTTTTCTCAGTTGTTAGAGTTTTCTAAAAAATCAGATAATGAATGCTAAACTTTATAAAATGCCTTTTCAGCATCAAATGAGAAAGTCAGTGTGAGCTTTCAGTGTGATAAATAGTTTAAAAATATCCTTACAATCTTGGAATATCCTACTTTGTCATTGTGTCTTTTTCTTTAAACACAAAGCTGGGTATTATTTCATAATATGTGAAAATTTTAATATTCATAAACTATCCTTTGTATATTTTCTGGTTTAGTACTAGGCTTCTGATAGCCTGCTAAAATACATTACAATACTTATAAAATTTATATGTCTTGGATTAATTTTAAAAGCTTAGTAATTATCTACACTTGAAAGCATGATAGAACACAATGGTAAATTTTGAGGACTTGATACTTTTTTGGGACAATGGTTAAAAAAACCTTTTTCTTCCATAACTGTTAAGTATAGTCAGTGTGAATTGTCTGTCCTTTTTTGTTTTGTTTATGATAATTTATTTTTTTATTTTTATTTTTTTATTATGTTATCCTCTCTTGTAATACATCTTCAGTCATCTCCTAGATGGTACACTTTGCTCTCTTGTTTATTTACTATTTTTTAATTCATTTACAATTTGGATGACATAGTTTGCCTATTTCTTCATATTTTACTTATACATTTATGGTTTTTTTCTCCCAAAAAGTGCTGGTGGAAATAATAATTTGTAAAGTTTTTGTTGTTGTTTAGAACTCTCTGAACATGTTTAAACACATTTTTCTTGGTTATTTTTAAAGTGATACCCTCTACATTTTTGTATTTAAGAATGTTAATAAGACATAACTTTAAATTTCAAAGATGATATTTATACAGTGTATTGTTTTTACAGTTTCCATGTTTGAGTGTTTATATTGATTTACTTCTGAATTTGAATATTTATTTTGTCAGGAGACATGTGAGTCATAAACTCTCCAAGGGCTTATATATATGTTCCAATATACTTGTCACTGAGCAGCATCTTGCTTGACTTTAGTATTCATAAATATTAGTCTTATTTGTCCTAAAATAATTTAGATTTGGCCCAAGGAAGTCAGTATTACAGGGGAGAAGTTTGATGTCATTTCATTTTAACTTTTTTTTTTTTTTAAAGATTTTATTTATTTGAGAGAGAGAGAATGAGAGACAGCACAAGAGGGAAGAGGGTCAGAGGGAGAAGCAGACTCCCCACTGAGCAGGGAGCCCGATGCGGGACTCGATCCCGGGACTCCAGGATCATGACCTGAGCCAAAGGCAGTCGCTTAACCAACTGAGCCACCCATGCGCCCTCATTTTAACTTTTGCTTGTGGGATTTTTTTCTTCATCCATGAAACAGGAAAAAAAATTGATTTCACATTTTACATAAATGTTTTTTAAATTAATGCTTTCTGGTAGTTGGTCTATATTAAATGAAGTTTTTTATAGAGATTCTTGATAGAGGAACCCTCCAGAAGATACTTTAGTATTATATTTGGTTTGACAGATCCTTCATGTATTAGTGATCTATTGTGAAGTAATAAATTACCCTAAAGTTCAGTGGCTTTAAAACGACATGCATTTATTATTCCTCTTTGTGTCAGAAATTCATGCATGGCTCAGCTGGTTTCTTTGCCTGAGAGTCTTTCACAAGACTGCAGTCAAGGTGTCAGTTAGGGCTGGGATCTCATCTGGAGACTTGACTGGGCAATGATCTCCTTCCAAGCTTATTCTTGGCCCAATCTAATGCTTTTTCCACTGTGACACATATTGGCAGGTATTTGATTTATTTGAGAGTCACTCTTTGGGTCTAACATTCAGACCTAGGAACATCTGCCTCTTTTGAGTCCTTCCTGCTATTTAGTCATAAATGTATGTGTGTATGTGAATTTGCATGGACACGCAGGTGAGCACCTATAGAAGGGCTTGTGGGAGGGACAGAGGGAAAGAAGAAGGGAGGGAGAATGATCATATGTTAGTATAACTTTTTTCTATTTTAAGAACTATTTTTTCCCCCATAGGTGCCTTAGCTGGGCCAATTATTGTGGAGCCACATGTCACAGCAGTATGGGGAAAGAATGTTTCATTGAAGTGTTTAATTGAAGTAAATGAAACTATAACACAAATTTCATGGGAGAAGATCCATGGCAAAAGTTCACAGACTGTTGCAGTTCATCATCCTCAGTATGGATTCTCTGTTCAAGGAGAGTATCAGGGAAGAGTCTTATTTAAAAACTATTCACTTAATGATGCGACAATTACTCTACATAACATAGGATTCTCTGATTCTGGAAAATACATATGCAAAGCTGTTACATTCCCACTTGGAAATGCTCAGTCCTCTACAACTGTAACTGTATTAGGTAGGTATGCTTGAATTGTATATTTTGGTGGTAGTGGCAAGGATTGTAGTAAAAGTTTTTTCAAGATTTTAAAGTAATTGTATATATATAAATCTAGATTTGAAATAATTCAAATGTGATTTTTCAAGTTTTGTCTTAAAATTCTGTGATTCTCAGCTGTCTCAATTTAAACAAAATTTTATATCTACCTACCTATCTATATAATGCTGTGTGGTTCTTATTTTATTTTCTTCATGAAAGATTGTTTTTTATTTATAATACTAAGTGCTGAGTGTTTTTGACATTTTCAATATTCTTTCTCAAAATTTCAAACTTTAAGTTTCCTTTTTAAATAAGCTTTTCCATTTATTTAAATGACTGTTGTTTTAGAGCCATTGATAAACTTTATGTTTGTTTCTGAAATCAAATTTTATTTCTGCTACTGTGGATTTCATAGCTGTTTAAATCTTGGGCCGTTGCTCACAATGAGCGATCTTCTGCTTTTTCCTATCTGATAACTCTTAGGATTTATGGTGGAATTTAAAATGAGCTTATTAGCATTAAGGTAGTCACTTGCAGTGAAAGGTATACCAATTTGGAAATACTGGCTTGTACTTTTAGAATAATAGAGTAAAGATTAATAGCAACCTTAGCCATTTCCACTCACAGTAGGACTCCTTTAATGGGCAGTCTGCTCTGCATCTACCTGTTTGTCTGTTGGGGACTTGGTTGGATCTGCTGATAGCTCCCCTCCCCAACCCTCCTTCACCCTTCTCCTTGGGTGTTACACTCTAGTAAAAAGCCCTTTGTGCTCCTCACTTGGTCTTAGTTTCTGCTTCCCGAGCAGCCAACAAGTTCACAGCCCCTAAGATTTAAAGGCATCATTTCAGGGTCTCTGACATGCAGGAGAGCCGTTTCGTCCAGCTTTGTCTAGATATTTTTTCATGTTGAAAGATACTATTTAAAAATAGAAATAAAATTAAATATTTGAGGACTTCATATGTTTATCACACTGCCCGAACAGCTGTGGGAAAATATAACTCATGTTTATGAAATTAATACTTTTGAGAAACATTTTGATTGGAAGGCAAGGCGTAAAATAAATATCTGAAAAATCAAGTGCAGACCATCACGGTAAAAAAGATCACAAAAGAAGTTCATTGGCTAGAAAATAATAGTTTGTGTGTGGAAGAGGGAACCCATGGGAGTAAAGCCTTTTTTTGCTATAAATTTTAGTAATTCCCCCTAAATTAATACAGTACTCAGTGGTTTAAAACTCAAGACTGTTTGTAGTACAAGACTAGTCATGATTTTACCCATGCCTATGTCTCTAGCTTCATCTATTTCATCTCTTGCTCCACTTTTCCTAATAACACAAATTTAATAATCATGATGAACTATTTGCAGTTCTGGTAATACCTGTTTATGTTTTGCATGTATTTTTCTTTCTTCTTGGATTGCTTTCTTTTTCTTCCTGTCTCTCTTCCTACATTCTTGTATTTAACTCTTATTTACAAACCACAGCCTTTTAGAAGCTGTTGTTGAAATATATACCCACTTGCAGTTTGATTTTTTTTTTTTTTTTCTTTTTTGGCTCTTTTGCCATTGTATCTTGAGTTTATCTATTTCCCGCAGTTACCATACTGTTTGTTGTGTGTTTTCTCCATTATAAACACGTGGTGGACTGCATCTCTGTACTTCAAAATTTAACTCTCTCAGGCCTACAAGAGTTCCTAGTATATAGCAGTCATACACCATTTAAGTGTTATGTAAGTAGGGTGTAGGAATGGATTAGTGAAACTTAGTAGTCTACAAAAGTCCTTGAATTTTGGGTAAGTTTGGGGTAAGCAAAAGGGAAGTAAGTATAGGGAGAATAAATGAGCCAGTGCAGGGAGGCAGAAAACAACATACATTAGGGCAGAGTTCTTTTTAGCGTCAGCATTGTTGACATTTTGGGCTGGGATTCTTTCTTGTAGTGAGCTGTCATGTCCATTGTAGACTGTTTGGTAGCATCCATGACCTCTACCCACCAGATGCTAGTAGCAGTTATGACAACTTAGAATGTCTCCAGACATTGCCAAGTGTCCTCTGGAAGAGGAGGGGAGAGATCGCTCATTGTTGAGAACCCTCATTAGTGGAACCACTGAATAATTTGTTGATTGTTCAGAGGATTTATATAAAGCACCAGAATTGAAGGCTAGAAAGGTTGAGTAGGACTGCATTAAAGTAACTTGAATGTATGATGGGGAATTTGAGCTTTGTATTACTAAGAAATGCCAAGTTGGTGTAAGGTGTTGTACTTCTCGCCTCCCTTCTTTTACCGTCAGACTCTTGCTATGTAAAGTGTGGTTGCTAAACCAGCAGCATTGGCAGCACTTGGGAGTTTGTTAGAAATACAGAATTCCAGGCCCCTCCCAAACTTACTGAATGATAAGTATACATTTTAGCAGGATTTCTAAGTGATTTGTATGCAGAATAAAGTTTGAGAAACACTGCTTTGATCACCTTCTCACCTTGCTTAGAGGGATATTTAAGTCATATAGAGTAGATTCAGGGAGTAATGAGATAAAAGTTGTGATTTATGAAGATTAGTCTGGTGTTTTTGATGGATTGAAATGAAGTCCTAAAATCATAATCCCTCAGTTATGTGGCCATGAAAGCTTGAAATTAATTTTCTGATTTCCGCCACTTGAGGGAAGAAGGGAGCTATTACAAAGGAATAGCTATCAAGACTTCGTAACTGATTGGATACAAGAAACAAAGGAGGTTTGAACATAAACAGGTTTTGAACCTTGGTGATTGAGTAAGTTGTGTTATTAATTCCAATGGGCGTGTCTGAATGAAAACCAGGCATTGGGATTGGGAGGCTAAGATTGGGAGGCATTTGCTTTATTGAGTTTGAGGATATATAGGCAAACAACACCAGGCAGGTGGTTAGAAACTGTGGAGTCAGGCCTTGTATCAAAATTGAAGAAAATTAGGGATCATGTAGATGGTAGTGTGTATCAGATAAAAGTTTCTAAGGGAGATGCAAACAGTAACTGAAGGCCCAGAACCCAGTATTTATTAGGGCAGAGGTTAGAAGAAATAGAGATGAAGAGCTCAATGAGAGCTTTGAGAAAAACTCGGGCAAAATAATACTACTTGTAACAGGAGAAGATAAAAATTTTAAGATTATTCTAGCAGTTTTTTTTCCACAGTGAGTATTAAGCCCTATAGAACATGATTTGAATAACCATTTTTTAAGTTTTCCTAAGAATGGTGCGCAGCTAGTATTCTAAGTGTATAGCCCAGATGACAATTCATTACTTAGAACAGGGACCTTAAGGCATTAGTACTTAATTCTTTTGGAAATGAATGTGAAGAACTATGGCAAAGTTTGAATTCCTACCAAATTAGTCAAAGAGAATGGCAAACAAAAATATTAAGCCTGTAGATTACGTGGTAACATTAGAGTTTCAGTGGAGTGGTATTAATAGAAGCCAAATTAAGGGAATGTGATATAACAAAAAAGCTTTGGGAAAATTTAGCAACAAATGCCCCACAGTAGAACAGTTGTTTTGCAATTGCTTACTTCTCTTGATGGGATATTTTATAGTTGTTAAAATTATGGTTAAGAGAAGTGTTACTGCCTGAGGAGAAGAACCAGAAAATTGTAGGTGTGCCATGATTATTACATCCATATGGAAACTAGAAAAAGAAAGAGAAGTGGAAGAAAATGATAATAACTGCATTAGGATATTGTAGTTGTGGATAATTTTTCCCCGTTTCCCCAATTTTTAGAAATACTGCTTTTGCAATAAAAATACAGACTTCCACTATATGTTGGCTAACTGAGCATAATTTAAAAAAATAGGCTTCCCTTGCTGTAGATGATGGAATACAGGGACTGGATTTACCCTCTTTCTAAGAACAAGAAACCAGGCAAATAAGAAAGTTTTTAGTCATTGGACAATAGGCAGTGTAGGATTATGATCCCTGAAAGAAGGGAAACAAATAAGGTGAGTCCCTATAATGTTCTAGCTTCCTCCTTAGGCAATTTCCAGGCTACAGCTCAGTGACAAGGATTTGAAGCAGAGAATGATGGTGTCAGGGAGTAAAAGAGACATACTGGAATTCATGGAGGACAGGTGATTAGAATTTGTGGAGCAGAAATACTGGAAAGCAGAGAGCATCAGAGAGTGTGTGTTTTAGAGATCTACAGAAGGGCCCTCTGAAGTCTCTGGGTTAGTAGTGATCTGTGTCCATGGGTGGGAGAGGAAACTTTTGAGGTTTGGGGAGAGAACCAGCAGAAAGCATTAGATCTAAGTAACAATCCTGGTGTTCACACAGGGCTAGGAAAACCATGTTCCTGCCATTCAAGTACACAAGGCATTGGTAGCATCTTAAGAGGAAGCAACAGCAAAACTGCTAGACAGGGAAGGTTATAGAGAAGTTAACTAAAATATTGAGATATATGAGAAAAGTAACTTTAGAAAGCCAATAAAGTCTACAACCAGGAGATTGATTCCCTTCAGAAGAAACAGAAATAACATAACTTAAAATTGACTTTAAAAATTTCTATTAATGATGGCATAAGTTGTTCAGACCAACTCTCCCATGGGAGTGAAATATAAAATACCATCGAAAGCTTCAAGGAAGTAAGAACATAGTGAGAAATATAAGTAGATCAAGATCGAGGAGAAGGTAAAAACAGAAATAAGCCTAGCACTGAAAGTTGCATTCAACCTCTGAGGACTTTTGATAATTCAGAAGAAACACCTGAGATGCTAAGCTGCGATTTTGAAAGCCTTGGGAAGACAGAGACAAATTTCTAAGTGTAGTTCTGCTCAAGATGGGGGATGTCTAATTACTCTTCTCTTATTCACCTGGTATCCAAAGGCTTACATTTTTGAAATAGTAGGAAACTAAAATAAACCAGCCTTCTTACAGACTTATAGGTTTATAATGATCTAAGTGGTTTGATCTTAAATTCAGGAGATCCTGGACTGGTTAGTGATTTCAGGAGTTTGGCAGAAGAAAACTCAGATCTTTTGTAGAGGAAAAGTATCTTTATTCTAGACCTCACATTATTTCTACCTTAGTTATTCAAACACAGGCATATAGTCTCCTTGAATCGGCAGGTATACAAGTAAAGAACACCCCACAGGGAGCAGCCAGCACAAATAAGACAACAGAAACAGACATGCAAAGATACAGGATGTTGGAATTATCAGATACAGACTATTAAACAGCATCGTTTAACATTTGAAGAGATAAGTCAATCTATAAAATTTCTGCAGGAAACTTATAAAAAAATCACATAGTAATTGTCCTTGAAGTACCGAAGTAATTTTTAGTGTATAAAAGCAGTTAACAATAAAAGAAATTAAAAACTGATCAATTTTAGTACGTTTGAACTAAAAACTTCTCATCAAAACAACCATTGGGCAAAAAGATAAACCCTAAACTGGTAGAGGATATTTTTACCACATATAACTTAAAAAAGGGCTCTCCTTCCAAATCAATAAGAAAAAGCAATTGGCTTTAATAGGCAATTTGCAGAAGAAATTCCAAATGGCCTAAACATGGAAAGACCTTTAACTTCATAATATGAGAAATTAAAAAATGCAGTCTCGACAATACGCCATTATATATAAGATGGACAGACACTGAGAAGTCAGACAATATCAACTGTGGTGTGTGTCTGAACTGAGCTCTAAGATTGGGAGTAAATTGTTACTTTGGAAAGCTTTTTGGCATTATCTGGTAAAGTTGAAAATAAAAAGAGTAGTAGCAATTCTACTACAAGGGACAAACTAGAGAAACATCCGTACAAATATACCACGATAGACCAATGAGAATGTTTCTTGTAAAATTGTTTATACTCAACAGGAAATAGTACCAATGTGCAATGGTAAATAAACTGTATAGCAGTTAATAATTTATAGAATTGCATGTAAATTTAAATGATTTAAAAATTAAAAGTAAAAAGAACCCCGAATTTCAAAATAATAAATTAAGTCTGATTATTCTCAAATAAATTAATCTCAGGAGCACAAAGTTGAGTCAAAGAAAAATGCATATAGTTCAATACCATTCATGTAAAGTTCAGAAACAGGTAAAATGCCATTGTTATTTAGCTTTGCAGTTGTTGCTTGTAGACCGCTCATGGAAGGTGAGCAAAAATTTATTTCCAAAGTCAGTATAATGATTTCATACTTGGGCAGGTAGGTGTTAAGATCAAGAAGCATGTTGAGCGACCTGGAAGGTACTAATGTTTTTGATTAAGATGTGTGTTGTTTACAATATAAAGTATTCATTACATGTGTTGTATGTACTTCCCCTTTGTTATTTTACAATAATACATCTTATGCAATACATAAGGAAATACATAAGGAAAATATTAGTATCTTGAGTAGATTATGAAACAAAAATAGTTAGACACAAATCAAGAACAGATGGCATTGAAAACCAGTTGGAAACTTTGGAAATGAATAAGTTATTGAGATAAAAATTTAATATACAGAATAAACTATAGGCTTGAGACAAATAATTTATGAAGTGAGACTGAGGAATTTATGCAGAAGGAAGCACTTGAAATTTGCTGGAAAATATGAAGAGATAGGATATATGGAAAGTAGATTGAAAGGTCTAAGCATTAAGGTTACTTTCGCTTGCTGAGGACCTTTCTTATACTAGAATAAGGTAATGGGATACACATTCTAATAAATGTAACTTATTGACATTACATTTTAACAGTGTAGGTTCCCTACTGGTAACTTAATTTATATTTTCTATAAGCATTTTTGCTGCAAAATGAAGCAGTGTGTCTTAAAACTACATCTTTTCCCCTTTCAGAGTAATATTTAAAATCTCATAATGAAAATTATCCAATTTACAGGAATTTTTCATATACTCACTTTGGGTCAAGCTCATCAGTCCCTATAAAGAAAAATCATATCTCTCCTAGGGAGAACCCTCTTTAAGGTTTTCAAGTCTTGCTGAGCTTCTTGTTTGTCTTGGCTCTTGATCTTCTCTTCCAAGAATCCAGCTGATGTTGGCATTACTTAAAAGCATATGTGTAGATTTTATATGCATTTGCCCCTAAGTTTATGAAATATGGCTAGATATGGCTTGGAAAGATGTAAATATATTCTTCTTTGAAATGTGACTAATTGTTTTTTAAAATTTAAACAGTTGAGCCCACTGTGAGCCTGATAAAAGGGCCAGATTCTTTAATTGATGGAGGAAATGAAACGGTAGCAGCCATCTGCATCGCAGCCACTGGAAAACCAGTCGCACATATTGACTGGGAAGGTGATCTTGGTGAAATGGAATCCACTACAACTTCTTTTCCAAATGAAACGGCAACAATTGTCAGCCAGTACAAGCTGTTTCCAACCAGATTTGCTAGAGGAAGGCGGATTACCTGTGTTGTAAAACATCCAGCCTTGGAAAAGGACATCCGATATTCTTTCATATTAGATATACAGTGTAAGTAAACAATAACATTTGCTTTTTAAACATGTCATGCATTTTATTTTAACTTTCTTCCTGTGACATAATTCTGTGTCAGACTTGTTAGTTTGAATATTTAATATTCAGATATTCTTACATCTTTTCCTTATTGACATTTTTTTTCTTAATTTTTAAAAATACCTTCATGGAAATTTCATTTAACCTGAACATTTTTTATCAGTTTGTAAAGATGGACAATGACTTTAAAGTTGCTCTCCGACCTAAAATTATTTACCCTTCTCCTTTTTAGACCTTAAAAATAGGCTGGACTTAAGCAAATTGTGGAAATTTATACCTCAAAATGTGCAATACTTAGAGACAAACAACTACTTTGCCAGTTCGATTAATTTAACTATTACTCAGTTTTATTGATGCTACCCATGATGTTTTCAGCAAGAATCTTTTACTGCCTAGAGGCATATTAATTAGTTTGAAAATCTTTGTTTTTCCAGGACCGTTTCTCATCTGATTTTACTGATCATGTTGTAAGATTCTCATATAGTAAGACAGTATTTTAAAGACATCATTGGGATAATAACCCTTGTAGATAAGGTTCAAAGCTTGGCCCGTCTCCTATTTTTTTTTTTTTTTTGTTAAGGGATGCTCCTTGTGTGTAAAGTTTGTATGTGTATATATGTATGTGTGTATACTTTTCTTGTACATTAGCTCAGTTGTTGACGCATTCTTTGTGTTGCATTTAAAAATTTTGAGAAGAAAAAGTGATAATGCACGTAACTTAAAACAAGGATAATGAAAATCAATAGGTTTTTAAAAGGAGGTGTTACAGTTTTTGTTCTTAGTGTTTATTTTTTGATATGACATACATGGAATTTTAAATTGCACATATTTGTTACACTTGATGTAATGGTTTCTAAAGCTAATTCTAAGAATCTTTTTCAACATTTATAGAGTTGAACTTGGGAAGTTATCTTACATGAATGTTACTACCATTTTATTCTTGAGTGCAGATAACCTTCTTTTCACTCCTCTGGAGAATCCAATTAAAATTTCTCTTTTTCCTTTTCCTACCTTACTTTCACAGACTCTTAACTTTTTCCTTTTTCTTATAAAATTCAGATCCCAATTGTAAGTACTATTAATATTTTTCTTATATATAATGTCCTTCCTTGTATCTAGTAATTGACTGAAATTTTCTTCATTTGTATTATGTACATTATGCTTTTTTGGTTATTGTTTGCTTGAATGCAATCCTAAATATATAAAAATATTTCTTTTAATTTAAGACTTATATAATTATGGCTTAGATTTATTGCCTTGCTCCTAAAATATTCTTAGAGTACTCATGGTTTTTTCCTTTTTTTAATTGGGACCTATAAAACATGTGAATAAAGTTTAAAGAGATAAAATCTTATATCCAAAGTTCAGATCTCAAAATTTGGAGGTTTTCTTTGGGGATACCTTACCTTAGTACCTATTGCCTCCTCCTATTAAAAGAGATTAAACTCACAGATCTGTCTACTGTTCTTTCAGCAACACTTTTTAGTACCAATTGTAAGTTACAAAAATGTTTGTTAATTCTTGTTATTTATGAGGCAGGCATTTCTTAAAATTACTAAGGTAATTAATTGTACTTTAGTATAAGTTTAATTTTTTACTATTCTTTTTTTGTAAACCTTGCTTGATAATAGATCAAGCTTCCCTGACAGAATTGAACTGACCTGGTCTCTCTCTGACTTACCATCTAATCCTGTACTCTTCATCTAGTTTACTGTGTAACTCACAGGAGGGTCCCTGTACTATGCATAAGTGACATTTCCTTAGGGAAGCTTTCATGACCTTCCTCAGCCTCATCCCCAGTCTAAATTAGGTTCTTCTTCTCTATATCATCCTGTTCTTTTCATTCTTGGCTCTCATAACAGGCTTTAGTTTAATACTTTTAAAATATTCTCTTCCTTATTAAAAACTATTGGAAAATAAATTTTACGAATACAGAGGCTGTATTTATACCAAATGTCTAAAACAGTGCCTGCCACTTATTAGAAGTTAAACAATACGACGGTTGAATGAATGAATGGTTTAAGTGCACAAATTTATATTGCTGGTAAATATGGATAATTGCTTATTTAACTAACTATATTGCACATATATCAAAAGACGTTTGGGTGCATTGAATGGTTAAAATTTAATGTTTTAGAAAAGTTGAGGCCACAGATAACTTACTTTAGTTGTAATTATGGCCTTAGAAAGTTTGTGTCACATCTCTACTTACCATAGAATATTAATTAATTATAGTACAGGGAATCTAATCTCTGTAATTGACTTTGTAACTCTCAGGAGATATTTTCTTTCCGATTAAACATTTCTTTGAAGACAGTTTTATATGGTGACTTGGAACTTAAATGCCATGTCTCATCAAATTAAATAGTATAATGTATTTCCTTTGTTCATAAATCTACACTTCTCATAATAGGACTCATATTTTGTTCTTGGTGATTATATGTTTGTGAATATCCTTATATTCAGTGTCCATAATAACTAGACTGTACTTGCTGTAGTTACCTAGTGTTTGGGTACTCATTGTCCATTCATGCACTCCTTTCAGTCAACTAATATTTATTAACTACTGTCTTCCACAATGGTTATGCATATTGACAGAAGGAAAAATGATTTCTGTTCTTCTGAAGTTTAGTCATTATGCTAATGCTTTGTCATTATATGTTGCATTTATCATTAACAAAAGATAATTTGTACTGTTATGCATTTATTTTATAGATGCTCCAGAAGTTTCGGTAACAGGCTATGATGGGAATTGGTTTGTAGGAAGAAAAGGTGTTAATCTCAAGTGTAATGCTGATGCAAATCCACCACCCTTCAAATCTGTGTGGAGCAGGTAATAATGTCACATACTTCTAAAGGGAAATTATTTAGTGAAAAGCATTCTTTTTTTTTAATTTAATTTAATTTCATTATGTTAGTCACCATACAATACATCATTAGTTTTTGATGTAGTGATCCACGATTCATTGTTTTCGTATAACACCCAGTGCTCCATGTAGTACATGCATGCCCTCCTTAATACCCATCACCGGGCTAACCTATCCCCGCACCCCCTCCCCTCTAAAACCCTCAGTTTGTTTCGCAGAGTCCATAGTCTCTCATGGTTCATCTCCCCCTCCAATTTCCCCCCCTTCATTTTAACCTTCCTTCTCCTAATGTCCTCCCTGCTATTCCTTATTTCCACAAATAAGGGAAACCATATGACAATTGACTTTCTCTACTTGACTTATTTCCCTTAGCATAATCTCCAGTCCCATTCATGTTGATGTAAAAGTTGGGGATTCATCCTTTCTGATGGCTGAGTAATATTCCATTGTATATATGGACCACATCTTCTTTATCCATTTATCTCTTGAGGGGCATCTCAGCTCTTTCCACTGTTTGGCTATTGTGGACGTTGCTGCTATGAACCTTGGGGCGCATATGGCCCTTCTTTTCACTACATCTGTGTCTTTGTGGTAAATACCTAGTAGCGCAATTGTTGGGTCATAGGGTAGCTCTGTTTTTAATATTTTGAGGCACTTCCACAGTTTTCCGAAGTGTCTCTACCAACTTGCATTCCCACCAACAGTGTAAGAAGGTTCCCCTTTCTCCACAACCTCTCCCAACGTTTGTTGTTTCTTGCCTTGTCAGTTTTTGCCATTCTAACCGGTGTAAAGTGGTATCTCAATGTGGTTTTGATTTGAATTTCCCTGATGGCTAATGATGATGAACATTTTTTCATATGTCTGTTAGCCATTTGTAGGTCTTTGGAGAAGTGTCTGTGCATGTCTTCTGCCCATTTTTTGACTTGATTATTTGTTTTTTGGGTGTTGAGTTTGAGAAGTTCTTTATAGATCTTGGAAATCAGCGCTTTGTCTGTAGTGTCATTTGCAAATCTCTTCTACCATTCTGTGAGTTGCCTCTTTGTTTTGTTGACTGTTTCCTTTGCTGTGCAGAAGCTTTTTATCTTGATGAAGTCCCAGCAGTTCATTTTTGCTTTTGTTTCACCAGCCTTTGGAGATGTATCTTGAAAGAAGTTGCTGTGGCCGATGTCAAAGAGGTTACTGCCTATGTTCTCCTCTAGGATTTTGATGGTTTCCTGTCTCGTATTGAGGTCTTTCATCCATTTTGAGTTTATCTTTGTGTATGGTATTAGAGAATGGTCGAGTTTCATTCTTCTGTATAATTGTCCAATTCTCCCAGCACCATTTATTGAAGAGACTGTCTTTTTTCCATTGCATATTTTTTCCTGCTTTGTCGAAGATTATTTGACCATAGAGTTGAGGGTCCATATCTGGGTCTCTGTTCTGTTCCATTGGTCTTTGTGTCTTTTTTGTGCCAGTATCATGCTGTCTTGGTGATCACTGCTTTGTAATAAAGCTTGGAATCCGACATCATGATGCCCCAGCTTTGTTTTTGTTTTTCCACATTTCCTTGGCGATTTGGGGGCTTTTCTGATTCCATACAAATTTTAGGATTGTTTGTTCCAGCACTTTGAAAAATGTCATTGGAATTTTGATCGGGATGGTGTTGAAGGTATAGATTGCTCTGGGTAGCATAGACATTTTAACAGTGTTTATTCTTCCGTTCTATGAGCATGGAATGTTTTTCCATCTTTTTGTGTCCTCTTCAGTTTCTTTCATGAGTGTTCTGTAGTTCCTAGAGTATAGATCCTTTACCTCTTTGGTTAGGTTTATTCCGAGGTATTTTATGGTTTTTGGTGCTATTGTAAAAGGAAGCATTTCTCTAATTTCTCTTTCTATACTTGCATTGTTAGTATATAAGAAAGCAACTGATTTCTATGCATTGATTTTGTATCCTGCCACATTACTGAATTGCTGTATGAGTTCTAGTAATTTGGGGGTGGAGTCTTTTGGATTTTCTGCAAAAAGTATCATGTCATCTGCGAAGAGAGTTTGACTTCTTCTTTGCCAATTTGAATACCTTTTATTTCTTTTTGTTGTCTGATTGTTGTTGCTAGGACTTCTAGTACTATGTTGAACAGTAGTGGCGAGAGTGGGCATCCTTGTTGTGTTCCTGATCTTAAGGGAAAGGCTCTCAGCTTTTCCCCCTTGAGGATGATATTCGCTGTGGGATTTTCATAGATGGATTTTATGAACTTGAGGAATGTTCCCTCTATCCCTGTACTCTGAAGAGTTTTAATCAGGAAAGGATGTTGTATTTTGTCAAATGCTTTTTCTGCATCAATTGAGAGGACCATATGGTTCTTCTCTCTCCTCTTATTAATGTGTTCTATCACATTGATTGATTTGCGAATGTTGACCCACCCTTGTATCCCGGGGATAAATCCCACTTGGTCATGGTGGATGATCCTTTTAATGTATTGTTGGATCCTGTTAGCTAGGATTTTGTTGAGAATTTTGGAATCTATATTCTTCAGGGATATCGGTCTGAAATTCTCCTTTTTGATGGGGTCTTTGCCTGGTTTGGGGATTAAGGTAATGCTGGCCTCATAGAATGAGTCTGGAACCTTTCCTTCTGGTTCTGTTTTTTGAAATAGCTTCAGGAGAATAGGTATTATTTCTTCTTTGAATGTTTGGTAGAATTCCCCAGGGAATGCATCAGGCCCCGGACTCTTGTTTTTTGGGAGGTTTTTGATCACTACTTCAATCTCGTTACTGGTAATTGTCCTGTTCAGGTTGTCAATTTCTTCCTGTTTTAGTCTTGGTAGTTTATAGGTTTCCAGTAAGGCATCCATTTCTTCCAGGTTGCTTAATTTATTGGCATATAGTTGTTGATAGTAATTTCTAATAATTGTTTCTATTTCCTTGGTGTTAGTCATGATCTCTCCCTTTTCATTCATAATTTTATTAATTTGGGTCCTTTCTCTTTTCTTTTGGCTAAGTCTGGCTAGTGGTTTATCAGTCTTACTAATTCTTTCAAAGAACCAGCTTCTGGTTTCGTTGATCTGCCTCCCTATGACAGGTAAATATTATTTACTGCCAGTAGTATACTGGAATTCTGTTTTCTTTTGTCTAAGATCTTTGTTTTCCCCGAGCCTAATAATTCTTAGCCTCAAAGAATATCCTTAATTCTCTTTATCTGTAAATTTGCAAACTGTTATACTAAGGTTTTCATTTGTATTTCTCAGTATTTGGGGCCTGCCTTTAGTCTTGAGACTTGTATCTATCAACTGTGTATAATTTTGTCATTTTTTTGATCATTTCCCCTTTTTTTAATTTGCTTTTACTAGACTTCCTATTTATTGTGTACTAAACATGGTTTCTTATTTTTCAAACAGTTTTTTGTTTTGTTTTGTTTTTCCTAGGAAATTTCCTTGACTTTTTTCCCCATTGACTTAATTGATTTAAAACATTTTGGGGGCATATTTTTAATTTCTTTTTTCTTTTCTTTTTTTAAGATTTATTTATGGGGGGTAGGGGGAGGGGCAGAGGGAGAGAGAGAGAGAGAGAAAATCCTCAGGCAGACTCCCGCAGATCCCGATCCCAGGACACAAAGATCATGGCCTGGATCAAAATCAAGAGTGGGCAACTTAACTGATTGAGCCACCGAGGAGCCTCCATACTTTTAATTTCTAAGAGCGTTTTCTTATTTCTCTTTCATTTCATTGCATTTTTTCTTATTTTATGGATGTAATGTCTTGTTTCTTCCTAGGAACACAGTATTATTTCCTCTTCAGAGAGTTTTTGCTGCTTCTTATTGTCTCTTCCTTTGTTTTTTTGTTTGGTTTTTCATTTTGTAGATATTCCTTAATTTTCTCAGTTGTCCAGTCATTTCACAGTGATGCATTAAAATATTAAAATGTATTAAAATTCTGAGTGGAAACTCTGTCTTTATAGTGGGGTTTACTCATTAGTAGATGCCATTTAGAATGATCAGGTAGAGAGTTATTTCCCTGGGGAAGCTTCACATGTTACTCAGGAAGAGTGGAAGTCTTTTTTGGTTTATTTATTGAATTAACCTTCATTGTTCTTTTTAAAACATAAATGCCTAGTATTTGTACAAAGTTGAGAGGAGTCTATTTTTTCAACTTTCAACTAATGTCCATAATTCTAGCCCTCTGCTTCACTCTGGCCTTCTGTAGTAGTACAGTGAGTCAGACTCCAAATCTTGGGTTCCTTGGACCAAATTGGCTGCATTCCCATTCATATGCCTCTTGGAAGCACTTCTTCAGCCCAACGTGGAGCTTTTCATCCTTGGCACTGTTGACACGTTAAGCTGGATAAACCTTTGCTGGGGGAGGCAATCCTATGAACTGCAGGATGTTTAGCAGCATCCCTGGCCTCATACCCCATTGTGAAAACCAAAAATGTCTCCAGACTTGCACATTGTCTCCTGGAGACAAAATCAGTCTTGACTGAGAAACCGTGGCTCATAGCATATGTTTCCTCCGTCTGTTTTCTGTCTTCTAAAAGTTTGTTGAAACATCTTATCTGATGAATTCTGCCTCCTGTTCTCTTTCTCCTAGTGGGTTTTTAATAGCTTTTAATTCCTTTACTCTTGTTTTAGGTGGGATTTTGTGGGAGTAAGGAAACAGTGTATTTAGTCAATCTGTTGTCTTTAAGCAAAGATGCAGTTTTTAAAGTAGAGAAGGTTTTTTTCATTTACATTTTCTTAAAAGTGGGAAGCAGTCATTGGTTAAGATGTGTGATAGGTTATTTCGAAAAGTCATACAATTTCAAGTTCCCTTCCTAGTATCTGTACTTGGAAGTGTCTTCTTGAATAAGATATCTAGCCTCTCTAAGCCTTTGTTTCCTCACTGATAATAGTACATTATAGAGTTGTAAGGGTAGAGACAGTGGTAACATAGGTAAAAGTGTAGAAGGTGCTTAGCATGTCATTTGCTGTGAGTTTAATGTGATATTTAGGATTTTTTTGATTGTGGCTTGTTTGAATAAGCAACTTTAAAGGATTATAAGCCATTTTTATATTTCTCAGAATTAAAGGGATTAGAATTTGGGCCTCAAAATGCAGAGAGATAATTGGTATTTATATACTCCATACTCATTCTAATCCTCCTAGAAGTTCACCTTTTGAAAGTCGGTGCTTGTACAAATGTTCTTTTCAAAGTTTTTGTAGAACGTTGGGTGTTTTTGTTTTTTAAACCATATAAGAATATTACCCTTTTTCTTCAATGCCAAATTGAAGTTCCTGCAGTGTAAAAGATTTTATTGACTGTTCTTCTACCTACTACCTTTGGATTTGCAGAACAAAATCATTCCTCCTCTTGTCCAGTGTTAGTTTTGTTTCTTTCTACCTTTTTATTATTTTTTGTTCTTATTCTCTTCATAATTAGTTGTCAGTCTTCTGTGTACTTAGACCATTGGAAGCAAATACAGTATCTTATTTACTTCTGTATCTCAGCAACACCAGCAGAGCAGAGTATGGTTAATATTAAGCTCCTGGCAATTAAATAATGGATGGCTGAGTGAATGAATAAATGAACCTTTTGAAAATCTGCTTAGCTCAAACTATAATAGTTGAGTGCCTGGTTTACTTGACTTTTTGTTCTCCTAAAAAATAACTCATGGGCTTTAAAAATAATTTCAAAATAAATGCCTCTTGGTGTGTTTTTTGGTACCCTGAGGTTGGCAGTATGATGTATAACAGTATACTTAGTTCCATTGCAATGAATAGCTTTAGAGTTGTTGTAGTGGGATTTTATTCCTATTGTGGTTTATAGTAATGCATACACTAGACCTCTTAGCCAAATTAGACACCATTTTTAAAAGTTGGTAATTGATGCAGAATGGCACATTGGTTTTTACCATCACAGATGCCCACTTTACAAATGAGATTATTTTATAAGAAGACCCTTTTTGATGCTTTAGAAACTGTCTTTGGGGCACAGTATAGATTTGCTCAGTATGAATTGAATATGTTAAATATTTAATATGTTACATAAAAATATTTAAATATGTTATGGAAGGTGCTAAAACATTATCAGTACTTAAGTGGCTTTTATCTTAAAATTTCTTAAGAAATTTGTAGATATATCATGAATAGATCTATTCACTGAGAATTATTTTTAATTCTTTTGATACTGTAGGTCTTCAAATAATATATTTTTCTAGTTTTCTGAATATAATTCTTTAAAATCACCTAATTTTTTTTCTTTCCTTCCCTCCCATTCTGATACGTTGGCTTTCTTGTACTTATGTCAGTTGCTATTTTGAAAGAATGGATTTTATCAATTACTTCATTCTTATTGAAATGAAAATTCATATCTTACATATTTCCATTTCATAGTGCATTTTACCTAAAGAATGCCAGTTCTTGAATGACTAACATCTCAAAAGTGTAATATCTTATTTTATTTAAATAGCTATCAATGAATAAAGTCTGAAGCTGCTTAAAATAATTTCGTGCTTTTTAAAATCTAGGTTGGATGGACAGTGGCCTGATGGTTTATTGGCTTCAGACAATACTCTTCATTTTGTCCATCCCTTGACTTTCAATTATTCTGGTGTTTATGTCTGCAAAGTGACCAATTCCCTTGGTCAAAGAAGTGATCAAAAGGTCATCTACATTTCAGGTAAGTTACTATCTGCTCGTAAAATGAGTTACTTAAATTGTTCCTATAACAACAGTCATAATAACACTGTGTTCTAGTTGGTAATTTATATTTGCTAATATACAGATTCCTCACTGTGAGGTTTTCCAAATACTCAAAAAAAAATATAATAAAGTAACCCTACCTGAACCACATATGTAAAGTGGTGTTACTTTAGTTAAAGAAATGTCAGAATGTCTATGCAGCAAGCTTATATACATTTTAATTAAGATCTTTGCTTATAGTTAATTTTTCAGTTATATAGTATTAAGTGTATTCCTTTTATAGGTAGTGTGTACTTTTCTAGGTTCTCTCATTTTTATACCCGAGAGCAAACGCTGTGTTTTGTTTGTGTGTTTTTTTGGTGGCTACTCTTGGTACAGGTGTCTCATAAAAAAAATGGGATATTGACTTTGATGACCTGGCTTATTAAATAACATAGTTTGTCACTCGATATGGAACTATATCATATTGAGTTACTGAGAGTGAAATAGGAATGCTATTGAAAACGTTCTAATGAAATGTAAGATGTTTCTTATCGTCAGTCCTTAAGCTACTAAGAACTTAGATTTTTCACATTCCATTTGTTTTGCTATGAATGTTTTGTTAATTTGAGTATATAAGTTCGGTACTCACAAAATACATTTAGAGCTAATAATATATTTTTCATGGGTGTGGCTATAAATAACAAATTATCAATGTAATGCTCATTTATAAAAATTATATAAAATATTTTGAGCATCTACTTACTGACTACAAGACTGTAGCAATCTTCATGTCTAAACAATGGAAAATTAAAGGAAAAAGGAAGAGAACCTTGAGAAAAGCAGGTTTGTATGGCAATTATGTAATTATGTAAAACTGAATAGTTAGATTTTTAGAGAAATTTTAAGCTTGCTTTCATGTTACGTTCTTTGTATGATCACTCAATCTAAGAACAGTCCCCCGTATTATTTTCTGATGGCATTTCCCACAATTTGTAGTTGTATACTTACTTGTGTACTTACTATTTATCCATCCTTATATTTAAGCAATTTGTGTTTGCTTCCTTTATCGTTGAATACTCAGTACTTAGTGTCTGGCACATGATAGGGATGATGCAAATATATATTTGCTGAATCTCACAAGAAGCTTAGAGCTGTGTACATCCCTAGACAGCCCTTTCTGCCAGTAGTAGTGCTTTGGTGGAAATCAGAATGAGATTAAATATTAGTCTGTTAGTCTCCCTTTCTTCCCTTAAAGTTCTCTCCCTTTCCTTTTCCTTTTCCTTTTCCCTTGCTTCTTGGATCTTAAAGCCACAGGGAATGTATAGTTAGAATGTAGTTACCTAAGGATGCTTCCTTTTTGTTTCTGTTGTACAGAATTTGGTGTGGGATATTACTTGTAAATCTCAGGCTCAATGTATTATTATGTAATCATTTAAATATCGAGGCTCAATTTGGGCATTCTTATATATACTGATTCTGTTGATGATATCCTAAATTTATTATATCTTTTGGCATTATGGATCCATTTCCCAGTACTTTCAACTTATGTATCCAACTGCCTATTAAAATCACTAACTCTGTGTAGAGGTATAATCATTTATGGCTTAATATTCAAAACCGAGGTCCTGATTTTTCTTCTGCCCCTTGCCACCATACCTCTTCCTCCAGCAGTTTCCCTCCTTTCTGTCGTTGGTAACTCCATCCTTATATTTGCTCAGGGTTTAATCCCTGATGCTTATTCTTGATTTCAGTTGTTCTCTCATACCCCATCCAGTCCATCAACAAATCCATGGCAGCTCTTCCATGACATTATATGTAGAACCTTACTATTTTTCCACTTCTGCTATGAGTGTTCTGACCCAAGCCATCAGCAACCCTTACTTCATTTTTAAAAGAGCCATTTAATCTTCCTACTTTTAATTTATCCTCAAAAGAGCAGCCAGAATGATCCTTGTAAAGGGCATGTCAGATCATGTTGCTTCTTTCCTGCAAACCTTTCACGAACTTCTCATTTGACCCACAATGAAAACCAATTCTTGCAATGACTTACAAGGGTCTATACATGCTCTGGTCCTAGATGACCTCATCTCTTACTATATCCCTTGCTCACTTGGCCTTGTTGCTGGCTTCCTTGCTGTTCTCTGAACATAACAGGAACATTGCTAACTGAGTCCTTGACTTGCTGTTTCTCCAGCTGGAAAGCTCTTCAGATATCCTTATAGCTCTTTCCCTACTTCCTTTAGGTCTTTGCTCAAGTTTCACTTTCATGACTATAATTAAAATTGAAAATTGAAACTTCTCTTTTCTAACCCCTTTACTCCTGTCTCCTTTTCTGCCTTATTTTTCTTTACAGTATTTATTGACACACACCATCTACATGTTTTATTTATATGCTTTTCTGTTTATACTTCTACTAGAACATAAGTCCTTTCATCTGCTTTAATCACTACTGTATTTCCACCATCTGCAGTAATGTTTGGCATGTGATAGGTGTTCAGTAAACTTTTCTTGCATGACTGAAAAAATTTGAGAAGAAAACAGGAAAGAATTAAAAATCTAGAATGTGCTTTTATATAGCTTTATTTTCTTTGACAAGGGAAATAACGTAACACTGGTGATAAACTTCATGCATTTTTTGATCAACCTCTAAGTCCTAAAAGAGAGGAAATAAAATTTTGAGTAAATATGAAAAATCAGTTAATTACTGCTAGGTGATTCAGAAAGATAGCATTATATAAGATGATTTTCTTTGAGTAATCATTAGAATTAGACTTTACCTTTCTATCCAGCATCTTTAATATTTAATACAGTACACTACGTTGAGTTTAGTTATCACCCCTGAGAGCTTCTTGGAGGACATGAAATATCCTAGATATAATACTGCCTTTCCAAAATGACTAATAAATCCTAGTAGGCTTTTATCAGAATGAAAGGCTATAATTCACCAAGAGTAAACAATTAAGATGTTAATCTTTTTTATTATAAATTATATGTACCCTTTTTCCTCTAGAAAAATTTTTTTACCTCAGTATTAAAATTGATAAATAAAAAAAATTTAGGAAATGATTTTTTAAAATATTTCTAAAATGAATGCATCTTATGACTGGAGACTAAAAGATCTACTCAGAACAGAGTTAGCAACTCTGTTTGAGGGAAATTGTAATTTTATTCTACATTTTATCCACATTGGTAAGTGTAAGATTTTGGACAAGATGTGATTCATCCAAGATTACAATATTCAACTTCAATTACTAGTCATGGGGGTACAGTGAATCTTTGTCCATTACTAAATGCTACAAATTGTGATTTTTCTAGTTCTTGGTGTGTTATCCCCTGATATTTTGTACTTCTCTTTGAGAGTAGAGGAACAAATTTTTACATATCATGTAAGTTCTCCCATGCCTAAAACTCAAAAGTATATTCCTATGCAAATCTTGAATTTTGAATCCTATTGATTTTAGGAATTAGGTGTAATATTTGACATAAGAATCAACACTTAATTAGGAAACTTTAAAATTCATAGATTTTGGTTATGTAAATAATTCATACAAAGTCTAAAAGAAAAAGAAATCAATTCATTTATTTTTTTAATATATTAGGCGAAAATACACTTTACAGCTACAAAAGCCTTACTGGACTTTTTGTTTTCCTCTTTGGCAGAACTCATTAATTTGAAAAAAAAAAAAAAAAAAGTTCATTTGGTTGTAGAGAACTCACAGTCTCTACTAGTTCATTACATTCGTTATATACTGATTTATCACACATTCTGCAAATAATATCAAAAAGCAATGAAGAAATAAGGAATGCTGTGGGAAAGGATTTTAAATTATGATAAATAAGTAACTATTAGTGATTACAAAATAGTCCATTTGATTCCTTATGCAAATTCTAACTCTCAGTTATTTTGGAGCGGGGCAAGAATTCGGAAATGTGAATAAATGTCTTGTGTGCATTGTCCTATATATGTCCACTGTTTAAAATACAAAATAATTATTAACAATAGTCCCTCTTCCATGGAATCATATTAATAGTGAGGCTATGCTATCTTTATTTGATTGAGGAGGAGATGGCAGGTTAAAAAATGTCTAAACCACTGACAAAATTAAATAAGATTTTAAAATAGGGACTTTTTTCTGTTTGGTTTGTTTTTCGGTTACTTTTTTTTTTTTTTAGTTAGATTTTCTGAAAGCTGTATTTTGTTAAATCAGAATTAATTAGTGGCCATCCTTCTGTGTTTACATAAAGAACATTGCAAGTAGAAATAAAAAATACCAATGTGTGTGTGTTTTTTTTTTTTTAAGGGATACTTGATAAAAATAATGAGTTACATATCTCATACTGGGTGAGAGTTCAGGTGCATACACTGTTTTGAGAAAAATAGCATTTGATTAAGAGCTGTCAAAAAGTTTTAAAATCTTACATGCACAAAAATGTGTGAATTACAAATAATTATTTAGGTGATTTGTAGTTAACATTTAAACATGCTGATGCCAGTTTATTGTAATTTTTTTTCTTTGGAAATCATTGTAAAGATGACACTTAATATTTAAAACTTTTCCATTAGTCCTACCACCTCAGAAAATACATGAGTTGTCTTACAGATGATACATTTTTAATTTATTTCTTTAATATCCTGGTTCTCTGAAGTTGCATTCTCTGATAGGCTTTACTACTTTTATACTAGAAATGATGCTACAATTCCACAATTTTTTTAAGATGGAATTTGTTCAGCTAGTGAATAATAGGTTCTTACAAATTAAAACCCTTCCTTGATTCTACATATAATAACTAATATTCACTTCAAAGTACTTGGCAGGATTGCCTGTTATATTGGTTTAAATTCATAGGAAATTAGTTATACTGTACTTGTTAAATTTTATACTGTACTTGCTAAATTTTTACCACATTCTGTACATATGGCATTCCGTGATGAAACCTGTTTCAGTAAGTATTTTTCTTTAGCTTGTAATTTTAGAATAACTTACCCCATGTAGATTTAGTATTTTTCTAACAATCATTTTTTAAAAGCTCTATCAGTACCACTCATTTAAAAATTAATTATAGGAAATTACCATTCGGGTCATTTATTTTTATCAAAGAAGAAATTCAAGATTTTTTAACTCATCCTTTCTTCAAACTCTAGAGTTTTGTGTAACATGACCTACAAATACCACTTAATTGATAATTAACCAATCTTTAATTTTTACTATTTATGTTTAGTTGCTTTTTAATATTAATGGCTATTTACTCTGTAATCTAATGGCAATACACAGGATCATCTGCATCTAATATTTAAGTATTACTAGAATGTTCTCTCTAAAATATTAGCTACTCTTTGAGACTCCATACTAAAGCAATGTGACACTAAATTTTGCAGATATGGTTGAAATTCTTCAACTTCCTAAATGTTCAGATATCTTACCCATGGGATATAGACATGGTGATGACATTTTTATAACACTTGGTAACATGTTTTTACTTTGTCTCTGTCTGTTACTCTCATTTGATAATATAGCCCATTTGGCTAACATAGTTTAAACATATGCTTTTTATTTTAAATTACTAAATAATGGTATGTACTACATATGTCCTTTCTAAAAATTGAAGATTTCTCTTTACTTAAGGAAAATATTTTTGAGAGAATTATTAAACCAACAGCTTATACTATGGCCACTTAACAAGAATCTATAGTTTTTCATTCTTTTAAAGATAAGTTCAGATCTTATAAAAGTAAATGAAATTAGGTAAAGATGTATATTAAGAAAACATACTTTAATTTTTTTTTACTCTTTCATTTTATTTCTTTGTTCTTCTGGCTAAGAAAATGTATATTTGGATTACTTAATCTTTTTGTCTGATAATTCTTAAGCCAGCTGTGTGTAGGACACTTAAGTAATGCTCTTCGTTAAAAAAAAGAAAAAAGAAAAAAAAAGTATTCCTTGAAGTACAATACCATGCTTAAACTTGGAATAGAATAATTTAGGATTTACACCATAGGTAATTTTTCATTCCTTTTACTTCATTGGTAACTGGCTAAATGTCAGTTTTGTTATTTTTTTAAAAATATATAATACCACTACATTCTGATCTTAAGAATGAAAAACTATTGTTACTATGAATATATATTCATTAACTGTGCTGTCTTTTCAACTTGCTGCTGAATCAGCCTGCATTGACATTCTTTGCCTTTCTGTGTCTTGTCTATCTTTACTGTTTCCATTAGATCCTCCTACTACTACCACCCTTCAGCCTACAGTTCAGTGGCAACCCTCAACAGCTGACATCGAGGATCTAGCAACAGAACCAAAAAAGTTGCCCTTCCCATTGTCAACTTTGGCAACAATTAAGGATGACACAATTGGCACAATCATTGCTAGTGTAGTGGGTGGGGCTCTCTTCATAGTACTTGTAAGTGTTTTGGCTGGAATATTCTGCTATAGGAGAAGACGGACGTTTCGTGGAGACTACTTTGCCAAGAACTACATCCCACCATCAGATATGCAAAAAGAATCACAAATAGATGTTCTTCAACAAGATGAGCTTGATTCCTACCCAGACAGTGTGAAAAAAGAAAATAAAAATCCAGTAAACAATCTAATACGGAAAGACTATTTAGAAGAGCCTGAAAAAACGCAGTGGAACAATGTAGAAAATCTCAGTAGGTTTGAAAGACCAATGGATTATTATGAAGATCTAAAAATGGGAATGAAGTTCGTCAGCGATGAACATTACGACGACAATGAAGATGACTTGGTTTCACACGTAGATGGTTCGGTAATTTCCAGGAGGGAGTGGTATGTTTAGCAACCACTAAATGTGACTTACCAATGTACAATGTTTCATTCATAATAGTTGATCATTTTCAGATTGTTCATACTTTTTCTTGAGGAAGAATAAGCTTTTTCAACTTGATTTTCAAGCTTACTTTTTATATTCTAATTTGACAAATGAAAATGTAAAATCTGGGTTCAATGTATCTGAGCTGCTTTACAATTTTTTTTTCAATGCTGTACTACTGTCTCAAGATTTAAATTTTAATGCAGAGTACTTTATTGGTCTGAGGCACACAGGTAAGAAATGTCAACATTAAATGTATGACTTTTTTGGTACAAAAATTAAAAAGAAAAAAAAAAAGGAAACTACCTTGGCATTGTGTATTAAATGTTTACCTAAGACTATAATCTCAAGTATAATGTTTGTTAAACATATACCTCTCAAAATTTATCACCACTAAATGATACTACATCAAAATTGACTATAAAACTAATTCAAGAAATGTTTATATATATTTTTAGTATACAAAAAAATATTCAGCCTGATGAAACACCTTTCCTTTTCAAACATTATTTTCTAAGTTTCTATACAAATGGAATCTTTACCTCTGCATTTTAATGAGCCTTGCCATAATTACTGTAGAGTGGCTTTTCAAAGATATTTTGTTGCACTAAAACTGTGGTAGTAAACTCAGTGAACATGATGTGTGGAAGAGCATAATTAGCTGGTCAGTATTTTTGTCCAAAATACGTACAAGAGTTATAATAAAAACATGCCTTTTAAACATAATTATTACAATTTTTTTCATCTCTGGATGACAATTCTTAAATGTTGTATGAACATGGATTTTAAGTGGCATAGTTTTGTTTGAATGCTTTATGTCCTAAATATAAGAATAATAATGAAAAGATGGTATGCAGTTAAATAAAGTTCAGAGAGGGCATTTCAGTATATGGAACAACGTGGGTAAACTAGCATTGGAGTACTGGTTTTCAGAAATGAGACATGTCAGCCAAGAAACTATACAAAAAATTTTTTAGCCCATCTTGTTTTAGTCATCTAATAGTGATGTTGTTCAAACGGGTAAATATATAGAAAAATTAGAACAAACTTGTAAATTTGAGGTTTAATGAGAAAAATCTGAATTATAGAACCAGTCGCTAACACTTGCTGATGGATATTGGCAAACCATCCTCCTTTTCCTCCTAAATGTATGTATTTGTTTCAAGTTTTTGTTTTTCCAATTAAAACTGGAAACATCATAAGGTTTTATGTTTTGTTTTTGTTTTTTGCATAATTCATTAAGTATATTCTTTCCAGAAATCATGTATCTTTAAAAGAAATGTTATCTAAATCTTCAAATGTGGATCTTCTTTGTGAGGTAATTAAATTGCTTCTACAGTAGAGTCCTATAAAATTGTAATAATGACAGCTATTTTGAAGCCCAAAGAATATGTTTTTTCTGTTGATGATTCATTTGAAAAAGGACTGTGTAGAATTGCCTTAGGTGTTTTGCCAGGGAATTGAAGTGGAAGTTAGTAGGAAAATCATAAATAAATTATTTTGTTAATAAAAAGGCAAAGTAGGTACTTTTTTTTTTTTACCCCCCAACCACCCAAATCCTGATGATTCTCATCAAATCTAAAGGAATGTTTTATAAGGCAAAGTTCTAACATGTTCATAGAATTTTGCAAGTAGTCAAGGCCTTATTCTAAACGATTATAACATAATTTCCTTTCTTTGAACTAGCAGTATTTTGTGGAAATTAGGAACCTATTTTATTTCTCTTCCCAAACATTCACACACTTAGTCTAAAACTATAATATATCAGCTAAGGATACAGGTAAGCTTACTGATACATTGTTAAGACTATCTGGCTTTAATATACTTAACCACTGATATACAAATATTAAGACTGTTTGGTCCAAGTCATTGGAAGCAAAACTTTATTGGTAATACCCTGTGATTGAAGTAGACTTTATGTTTTAATTTAAATACCAGCACTGATATGGCCACAAGAAAGATGGATCTAAAATTCTTGCCATGGAAGATGTGAATTTGTGGCTTTTTGTTCACAATTTCATCTTTAGAGCAATGGTTTGAAATGCTATATGAATCTGAGCAGGATAATCACTGTATAAATCTCAACTTGAGTATTATTTGAAGGAAATTAGCAGTGTATTTTAAGAACTGCATTTCAAAAATATAAATACTTAGTGATTAAGACCTTCCTTTATATTGTGGCCATTATGTGTTCAGAGTGGCTTTTTTGTTTTTGTTTGTTTTGTTTTGTTTTTTGATGGGAGAGGGGAGAGGTTGACATGGAAAACTATAAGTGAGTGTTTGATACATTCTGTATCCTTAAACTAAATCATTTGGCAAACTAAAAAGATTTCAAAATTGTAAGAATCTGATACTAGTTAAGACTTTTTGAAGCATTGCACTGCTGTTTATTAGAACTTTGTTTACTGTACATATAGACTTATTTGTGAACATGAATAGTCATTAAACATTTTTGTTAAATTAATTTTTTAATATCCGTGATATACACAGCTAATTGATAGGTACATAGGAAAATCCTTTTCTTTTTCTGGAAAAGATGGAAGAATGTTTTATTTTGACCATGTTTATTTTTGTTTCTTTATTCTTTGAACTGACTTTTCATTTTTGTATTTACTTTAGGGTTTTCTTCCACACTGGTTAAAATATTTCAGTAATGCAGGGATGATGAATGCAACTTTTATTTTTTCCTGCCATTTTTATTAAAATATATTAAAACTTTAATAGGCTAGGGGTTAACTTTAAAAATGACATTTGAGTAATACATTATAGTTGAAATATTTAGTATTTTACCATGTGCCTAAAAGGTTTCTATTTGATAAGTCTAACATTTAAAGAAACCATTACGGTTTTTCAGTAGTAAGTATTGCTTCTGATAGCCATATATAGGAATGTTTTCTAAAGATAACCCTAGCTAAATGTGTAGCAGAAGGGCTTGTAGGAAATACATTGTATGAGCGCAAAAATTGGGATAAATATAACAATTTTACATCTGATTTGAGTTTAATTTTGTTTTTGATAAATACTAAAGGTATATGAACAAGAAGTTATGAATGTGTGGAGGTAATCAGTGTAAAATATAAGAAAGGAAGAAATGGTACACATACTGAATTTTTAATTCTAATAGAGGAATGATATACAGATTTAATTGTTCTTTCTGTTTACTTGTTAATTGGAAATGTATCATCCCTAAGAATCTCCTTTCTCACATTTTTGGTGTATTGGGTTTGGATTTAACTTTAATTTGTACTAGTGGTATTTTTTACCAAGTTATTTATCAGGTGGTAGCCCTAATAGCCATGCAACAAATCTTTAAATAAAAGTTTTTAAAAAATTCTTTAGAGGCATATTTCTATAACAAACCTATGTCTCTGTATTACCTTCTTTGTCCTCGTTATGTTATTTGATGGAGTGTGTGTGTGTATGTGTGTGTATGTGTTGTATGTATAACCTAGTTCTTATATTTTAAGTTTTTGTGGGAATTTGAAATCTATTTCTCTTACCAAATAAGACTCTATCAGGTTAAGGATACAGTTAAATAAAGTTTGAGAGAGCATCTAAGTTTGTAGGTTAGCCATTACAGAATTTGCTTTTAATTGACCATTTAATTCCTATTTCCTATCTACACATTATGAATAACATTCTCCACAGTCATGAATTATCTGTTTCTCTAGTCTTAGCAGTTAAAACAAATTTTGAATGTTTTTGCTGTTGTGAGTTTGACATAAATTATGTATATTGGCTTTCATTTGGATGAACATATTTCACAAAATATTTTGTAAGTTGGCATTTAGTGTTTTTCACTTATAAACATTATAATGGCTTTCTTTATAAATGCCATTGTTTCTAATTGTAATTACCTCCGTGTTTTCTATCTCTGATGTTTAAAATTATACTTGTTTTCCTAAACTTTAAATTATCTTAAAGCAAGCAGCAGTTTTTTTGTTTGTTTTTATTTTTAAATAGCATACAGTTTGACCGGTTTCCCTCTTGTTATACCAATGGAAATTCATGCATGAAAGAATCTCTGGAATAGTGTACACGGCATATCACCTTTTCTATGTTCTAAAAACTGCTTTCTGTTTAATATTTGTTTTCTCCAATTCCAGTAAGCTGCAAGTTTTTTTGTTTTTGTTTTGTTTTGTTTGGTACCTATGTACTTTGAGTTGAGTAGTGATAGGTTTGCTTACAAAAGCTTTCGCTGTATATATCCTTAGGGGTCATTTTCTTGAACCTTGATGATAGTTATTTTATCATGTTCATTTCAATTTATGAGGCTAAAACTTGATTCAATTTTGGGTTGTCCTACTTCACTTACCTTTTCTGCTGTTCTGGCTGGATGCTATGCGTGAAGCAGAGTGAAAGTGAGTTTAGTAGGATAACTTTATAATCTTAAAAACTTGAGAGAATAAGTCAAGGCCCCATTTCCCTACATATATAATATTTCTATAGAGATATGATACCCAATTTCACAGTTTCATTTATGAGAAATATCTCTGGAAACACCTAGTCTTAAAGGGACAGCCTGATCTAAACTTTTTTAAGCCAGAGGTAACTAAATCTAGAAGACTGGCCTCCCTTTAAAAAAAAAACAAAAAACACCACTGTATTATGGGAAATTATACAAAAGTAGGATAGAATAATGAAATGAACCTTCATGTACCTGCTTCAATTATTACCAATTCATGGTCAGTCTTGTTCCATTTAAACTCTTACCCACATAATCCCTCGTGCCATTAATTCATCTGTAAATATATCAACACACAGCTCTAAAAGAGAAGGAACATTTAGGAAAAGTAACCACAAATTTGTTATTACACAAAAAATTAATTTGCAGTTTTATTTAGTATCTGAATGTAATCCATATATTGTTACATCTTTCAGTCTATATGTTCTCTGTGAGGCACTCCCCTCCTCCCTTGATTTTTGCTTTGTAATTTATTTGTTGAGGAAATGGCTTCATGTGTGTCCTGCAGTTTCCCGGTTTGGATTGTGCCAGTTGTACCTCTCTATTTTCTGTAAATTGTCAGGGCTAGAAACTTTATAAGGTTAAGGTTTAATTTGGGGTGGGGGGGTAATTACTTAAGTGGTGGTATCTTCTGTCAGAAGGCACATCATACCTGCTTTTCTTTTGATATTAGCAGTCATTAGATGCTCAAAGCCTAGATCTAACCGGGAACCTACTTAATGTCTAGATTTATTAACTCTGTTTTTCTTACCATACTATGTGCTTTGATGTCTGAATAATTACATCCGTGCTGCTTTTACCTGAACTTTTCTTTCCACCCTTTTCCATATTCAAGGTCCAGCTCAAACCATATGATTGTTCATTTGTTTTGTTTTTTTTGTGTTTTTTTTTTTATCTTGGTTTTAGACTTTTGATTCAGTGATTCAGGGGTTTGATTCCATATTCAGTATATTTTGATATTTGGTTTTTATTTCGATACTTGGTAGCTAAAATGCTACCTCTCAAAAACAAGTAGATTTAAATGGAAGAAGTACACTATTGGGGACCTTAACAGTTTTAATACCAACTACTGTTTTTAGAGCTAGTCTCCTGTTCAAAATGTTTGGTTTTTCAATGTTTTGCTCATCAAATAACCTCACACCTCATATTACCTACTACTTCAGCACAGTATGGGTCTAGTGTGAGGTTTATCATTAATAAGAGTGAATGTAAACCTTTATCTTATTTGGTCTTCTAATGTGTTTCAGTTTTTTTGGTTGATCCATCACATCTGATTATATGGCTGTGGTTTTACTTCATAATGTAACTGATCAAGTTTATGC